TCACATCCCTCGAAAACAGGTGAGTACTCAATGACTGGTATTGATATTGAACTTTAACACACCATTCCGAGTGCCTCAGTGCATATCCCAATTCGGATGCTTCCATCACGTAACCCCTCAACTATCAGATGCTTTCTTTCCGTTCCAATTTTCGCATGATAGAACACAATAAAACTTGAGGGATCTTCAAAGCCTGCATCAACTGCCCAGTGACATAAACTGTCATATGCTTGTTCAGCAGTCCCTCGTTCATTACAATATGTAAGTGTAATTGGAATGTCTTCAATTGCAGAAGCATCTTCCGGGATGAGAAAACGCAGGTCTGCAAAGGATTCTGCAGGGTGTTGCATTGTTCGACAAGAGAGGGCAACATTTGGACGGTCATTCGACAAGCCAACAACATGTGCATCTTTTGAGAGATGTAACTTGCCGCGGAGATCATCAAGAATGTGCTCTGGCAAAGTCGCCGATGCGATAGCCAGTGTGACATGTGGGGGAAGCACACCACGAAGAAAGCCAAGCTCTCCATAGTCTTTCCAAAAGCTACCACCCCAGAGGCTGACACAATGAGCCTCGTCAATGCAAACTGTGCATAAACGAGAAGTGAAGTTGCTCTTGGACAGTATAGCAGCATGAAATGTCAGTGAAGTAATGATTTCAGGTGAGACAATCACTTGTTGATATTCTCCAGCAACGATGGCCTAATTTTCATTGCTGTTCAGGTGGAAGGAATTTCAAAAGATGAAAATATTAGACAAACATTGAACATTTTCTCTCGACCAATTTTTGCAATGGTCTCACTGCAAACAGCAACTGTTGGCAGGATTGATGAGCTGGCCTTGTCATAAATTCCTAGTTAGATGGAGCATGAAACACAGAATCCAATGGATATACCTGATCTATCATGAGGGCAGACAGTGGTGACACCGTGATATTGATGTCTTTTGGGTCAAGGAGAAGTGGTAGGTTGAACACCAAAGTCTTTCCATTACCAGTTCCAACATCCAGAATAAGGTCTTTCCCTTGCAGACTGGCAGATGCCGCTTGTAATTGCCATCCAAAAGGTTTCTTGCCGAATTTTTCTTCTGAAAGTCGGGAAAGATATGGTAAGTCGAGTTCAAATTCTTTAAATTGACGAATTGTAGGCTTGCGAACGCGATCCTGTTCACGGGCTGAAGGTCCAGACATGATGGCAAGTTACTACAAACCATCTACGCTATTGAATACTATGTCTAAGAGGTGGATATGATGATATTGTGAAACAGATGTGCACGAGCATAGTGATCACGCGCATTGATGCGTGCACTAAAACGGATGTTCGGACCTTGAAATCCCCATGTGCTCCTTCATGGTTAAGTTGTACCAGTCTCCTTGGGTGCTAATTCTATCCACACTCATTTTTTCCCCACTTTTTCGCACCCAAGGAGAGTGGCAACAAGTCTAATAATTTTTGGACCATAATTGAGGGAGTTATACAGTGGAGTGCAGAAAGAATGGACCATGGGTAATTTTTTGGTTCTTTCTGAGAATGTATTGTAGTCTAAATGTAGTTGTGTATTTTTTTACATTATGTAGTTGCATCACACTTCCCTTGGCATGGACTAATTTGGGTGAAAGGCAGGGCTGTGATGATGTTTTTGTTTTGATGGCCATTTTCAGCACCTGAAAAAAAAAAAAAATGATTGGTCACTGAGGGGGCAGCTCTCTGCATCTTGTTGCAGACTATGCTTATCTTATCACTTCTACAAAACTATTTGTCAGCCTCAAATCTTCCTTGAGTCTTGACTGATTGTTCTCCAGATTATTAAAAGTGTTTAATTTAAATTTTTTGCTTGTTCAGTGTGGAAGGGTGATCTTTTCCATCTTACCTCTGCCTCCATTTTATCTCATTTCATCAAAAACGAGAACCATAAACTGCTAATTCTTGGACTTGTTTTGATGGAAAACCAGCAGATTTATGGGTACAGGTTTCTGGAGTGATACCTGTGCACCCATGCTGTTTGCTTATCTGTTACCAATTGTAAGTGTGCATGTGGATACTGTTGGAGTTCATCTTACTTTAATTAAATTCATTCATTCAGAAAAATTTTACTCAGCAGGTTAGGTTACCTACGCCGATAAAGCAAAAAGAAATCTTGACCCTCGAAATTATTCGAGTACGGGGAATCGAACCCCGAGCTACCGCGATGTGAGCATTTTGAAAGGCGGTAATGTTAGCCGTTACACCATACTCGAGTCAAAAAACATGGTATGAGTTGTAATCATTAGGTTTGAGAATTCTTTGCATGAGCTGTGCCCCCATGACCGTGTTTCATCGCCATCAACACTGCATAGCCCAAGGTATATAAGTAACCTTCTGCTTTTTTCGACTTCACACTTTACAACATTCAGCACGTCAATAACGACCTAGTAACGACTTGACGACCTTAATGCCAGCCCCTTCTAGCCCAACTTCACCCCGCGACCCACGGTACTACATTCCTCGACGCCCGTCTCCCCTTAGCCTCCCACCGCTCGCGCCCCACATGGCCTTTCAGGGCCCTTCGACACACCATGTTACCTTCCAAGCACCCTCTCACGGTTTCCAGGCTTTTGCGGCTTTGGCCGTTCCGAACACCGCTCATGAGCAGGGCGGGAGAGTGTACAAGGAACCGCGATACCCACTAGAAGCCCAGCGGCGGTTTCTTTCTGAAGCAAGGAAGGCATTGAATGAGGTAAAGAGGGACAAGGATGAGGAACAGGTGTGTCTCTTCGTTTTCGTTGTATTCAGTTCATGCGTCTCATCTTCGGATTATTGCACAGCCGAAATCGCCCTGCCAAACACTGCCCCCGCCTTCACCGACGACGACGCAACAACAGCCCAAAGCGCAGTCGTCTCCGACGTTGACTCTCCCCCTTACTCCTCTCAGCGGCGCGAGTACTGTATCGCAGTACTCCCAGCTGGGCGACGAGGACGATCACGAGACACAGGAGAAACGTAAGGGCGGCGTTTTCTGCTGCATTGGTGCGCTCTTCCATTTTATCTTTCACGGGGAGGAAGTCTAATTTCACCCCGTTATCAGGCGTACCATGGTTCCGGAATAGTCCCAAGCCCCCAGTCGTTCCCGTGGGCGAGCCTGCGATGCGGCAAGTTTCCGCAACGCATCGTTAGCTTGGGCGGGCTCCAGGTTAGCCATCGCTCCCTGTCCTTCGCCGGATGACTACACCCGCCGATACGGAGTGACCGCGGTTCGTTGATTGCCCTCCTACTGCTCTGAAGGAGGCTTATTGGATCGTAGGACTCGAAGGGCTGTAGCATCAGTTGTGATTATCGCTGGTTCGATACTCACCCCCGTCGTCTACAGGTTTTTCGCAATGCAGACGCTGGTCGTCATGCCATTGTTGAAGCGAGTCTTTTTGAGCTCGGCCAGCCACTCATTTGTGATATTCCGTGTACTATTCAGCTCCGTGTTAATTCATTGTTGAATAGTCAGAATACGTTGAGATCAAGTTTGACCAGTTCACGCGACAAACACCTCCACCAAGACAGTCTAAGATTTGCTTGATTCAAGCCACCTCTCAAGCGGACGTCGACTGGTCAAAGAACAGCAATATGGATACTAGAGTTTGACATTGTTCCAATGTCAACAATAACCTTGCTTGTATTTTGACCATTGGCACCGGCATGCTTAAATTTAAGCAAAATTGTCTCGCTGATCATAATTTGAATGCACACAGCTTGGAACTTCCAATGTTCTTTTTGCTCCTTTGTTCAATGCAATCTCAGAAGCTATATCTTGCATTGTATTTTATTTTTATTTTCCAAATTTGTTGAAAATACTTGAGATACCATCAACTTTTTTTTGTTTTTGTTTTTGTTTTCTAAAGATTTACGTGCAACAAGACTAGTACTAAGATGCACGGGAAGCTCAAGGCTTCCCTTAGGTGTAATTAGGTCTGATAGGTCTCCGCTTATGTGGGTATTACTGTCCGTTGTGTAGCTTTGTAAAGGAAAGGTAAAGATTATGGTTTAAAAGTGTATCAATGATGCTAGAGTAAGGGCGGCCTTGCGCTCAAGGGATTGTCTGTGAATGCAGGTGGCGTGGGCGTGTTAAGTTTCATCGTCGGAGTCACCGTCTTCTGAGCCTATGTCGGGTGGTTCGGGTTCGTCGAGGAAGGGGGGGCGTGTACTTCACTCCTGTGAAGGTGAAAGCACCTGAGTCTCTTATAGAATTTCGGGGAGCGTGATGTCGCTGTTGTGTTCGCATAGTTTGTCTCGGGCGCAGTCTCATACTATCAACTTGAAATCAGCTAANATACGATCGAAACATGGTCGTATCAACCTCGTCAAAACCTCGTCATTGGGGGAAA